TTTCGTGCAATCTTTCCTGTATTTCTGCAATCGTTTCATCAGCTTCAGTAACACGCACCCGCTTTGCAATATTGTATTGAGACATTTTGGAAGAGAAAAACTCTAGTGGTGGCTGGAAAGTGACTATTCTTGCATTTCACTACTCTACTTTATTGTGAAGTATTGATGCAAAATGATTCATGAAGGATCATTTCTTAGTGATCAATAATAAGTGTGTGATTAGAGAAGTCTTTTGTGTTGTAAGTATGGAATCTTTTTATGTGAGTTCCAAATTATGTTTTTATCATATTGCAAAACTAAGTTGAATTTGAGTAAGAAATGTCATGCAAGTCTAGTACAATCATCAATAAACAACACAACCATTTAGTCTCAAAAATATTAAAAATGTTTAGTCCCAAATTGTCGCTATGGGTCAATAAAAATGAAAATATACTTTTTTGTTGCTATTGAGAAATGTTACACGCTTATTTTTTTTTAGATAAAAGTGTAAATATATATAAACAGAGTACCAATGGGGTAACACCCATATACAAATTTATAAAATTGTTAGGGTGTCAATAACATCCCCAAAATCCTCATCTCTAATGATGTCATAACCCAACACAATGTTACCAAAATAAGTAAACCATAACTCTCTTAGTCTATTAATATCTCTCTTAATACCATCAAACGCTCTCTTATTTTTTTCTTTCCAAATGGCCTAAAAAAAGGTTAAAGAAATAATTTTAACAATATTCTTTTTCAGGTCAATCCCACTCCAAGCTTAGATCTCATCAAAAACCAAACTAGAGATGACCCAATTGATTCCAATCAGTCTATAAATCTGGCACCATAAATCGTGGACCACCTCGCAGTGAAGAAGTAAGTGGCAGCAGGATTCCTCAGCCTTCTTGCACATAAAACACCCATTAACCACAACCTGGCCTTTAGTCTTCAGCTTATCAAGTGTCAATATACTTCCTCTACAAGCCTCCCACGCGAAAAAAGCAATTCTAGGCGGGCCCTTGGAATTCCAAATCTGTCTTGAAGGAAAAAGGGAAATGTTATCCTGCCCAGTCCCCACCAGCTACCGATAAAGTGAATCAACCGTGAATTCACCTTTTTGGATGGTTTCCAACAAATCTGGTCCTGCTTCACCACTAATTTGACATTGTGAGACCAGCCTCAAGACCTCTTCATAATCAAAAACCTCCCAATCATTTAGATTTCTAGAGGCGTTCACTGTCCAAGACAAACCTCCATTTTCCGTTGCATACGCCTCCTTAACTCTCATGTTTTTAGATTGTGCAATGGCATATATTCTAGGAAATCTGGTTTTCAAACATCCCCCATCCAGCCACTCATCATGCCAAAACCTTATACAGTTTCCCCTACCCAATTTCCAGTTGATGCGCTCTATAAATCTCGGCCAGCCCTGTTTTATATTCTTCCATAAAGCCAAGTCATGGTCCCTGCAGTCACGGAAACCATCCCCAGCAAAATCAAGCCTGCCCCATTTAGCAAGTATAATCTTTCTCCAAAATCTGCCCTCTTCCTTAAAGAATCTTCACAGCCACTTGCCTTGAAGAGCTCTATTCATATGAACCAAGGATCTGATATTCAAACCACGTAATATGAGATTTTTTAACTTCCGGTCATCTCACCAAGTGATATTTTCTCTTCTCAATACTGTCCCCCCATAAGAAGCAACATTGAATTGATTCCAATCTTTTTGCAATACAAACCGGTATAGTTAGGATAGTAAAATAGAATGTTGGAAGATTAGCAAGTGTACTTTTGATTAGAGTGTATCTTCCACCTTTTGATAAGAAATTCCTCTTCCAAGTTGCAAGCCAGTTCTCAAACATTTCAACCACCGGTTCCCATGTTTGTTTATCTTCGTATCTTGCCCCTAACGACATCCCCAAATATTTTATGGGGAGCTGCGCAGTCCTGCAACCAAGGATCTTAGCCAAGCTGCTATCTTCACCCACACTCCCCATCTTTACTAATTCCGATTTAGTTAAGTTAATGTTGAGTCCCGAAACGCCTTGGAAGCAAAGGAGGATGTACTTAAAATGCAGTAAGTATTGCTTTTTTGGCCGCAAAAATAACATGTCATCGGCAAAGAATAAATGAGATACCTCAACGGAATTATCACCTCTGCCCACCTGCACCCCTCTAACCAGCTGCAGTTCTTTAGCCATCTCCATCAAACCATTCAATGCTTCCATCACAACAATAAAAATAACGGGGAGAGTGGATCCCCTTGTCTCAACCCCCAAGATCCTTTGAAAACACCTCCCCCAAAACTCTAGTAAATCTCACAGTCATCACCTTTGCAATAAGTTTGCATATGCACCCAACTAAGCTAATGGGTCGAAAGTCTTATATGTTCTTTGCACCTTTTTTCTTTGCAATCAATACGAGGAAGGTAGAATTAAGTTCCCGCACAAACTTACCATTATTATGCAAATCATGAAATAACTCCATCACATCATCTTTAATCACATACCAAAACTCTTGGAGGAATCTCATATTGAAACCGCCCAGTTCAAGGCTTTATCACCGTTAGAAGACATCAACACAGCCTGCACTTCCTCCTTGGTAAACACTGCTTCCCAATTCTGCCTGCTTATTTTGCTGATTCTTCTAAAGTCGAAGCCATTCAGTTTCAGTCTCAGCATAAATTCCTCCTCGTACACATCCTCAAAATCAATCCTGGCAGCTTCCCTCATCCGGTCATTGCCTCTATAAATCACTCCATTCACCCCCAATTCTTCAATGTAATTACATCTCCTCTTGTGCCTTACTAAAGCATGAAAATACTTAGTATTTCTGTCACCCTCCAACCGCCACTTCTCTCTTGACCTCTGCTTCCAATTCACTTCCTCCATCTTCGATTTTCTGGCCATCAGCAACTTGATCTCATCCCTACGAAGTTGATCAGCAAACCCCAAACCCTCCCTGCCCTCCATATCATCCAGCAACACCAATTCACTAAGCCAATAATCCATCTCTTCACCCTCCTTTCTGATTTCCTCCTTTGTCCAAGCTTTTAT